GTTATGTAGGTAATTCAAAGAAAAAATAAAGTGTTACTGATTTTTATTTGTAGAAGGTTTAAGAGGAAACACCACAACATAATGGATTTAATTCATCACAATATCTGAAAATTCTGACTTTACTTTTTTGAAAAATAAAATTGTCTTTCCTTTTACTCCCGATCAACAATCAAATATATTTTCTTGAATTATGAATAACACAAATGGATTGAAATATTTAATTAAATGATTTCAAAATAAACCTTCATTTCGGTGCAATATTTAAATTAGCTTGAATTCTTCATAACCTATGAATAGTGGGTCACCCAACGGGTCAGGGTGGTCTAGTAACTGCTAAAGTTGAGTTATAGCTTCATCTGAGCATCTAATGCCATTATCGTCTGTTTCACAGCTTGTGATACTCCCAGTATCATTGAAAAATGTTGATAAAGTGGGAACTTACTAAAGAACTAAAGCGTTCATCTACTTTTTTTACTTTTTTCTACACTCCCCAAAAAAGTGTAATTTTCGCAATGGCTTTAGTACACCAGAAAAGCATTTTAAGAGCACTTAGAAACAGGCTATCACTAAACACAGTAGTGCTTAGTATGTAGGGATGAGCTGAGAGAATAATGGCCGCCATATTCACTCTTTAACTCTATGATGCTTACAAATAATTGCTAAGTTTGAGTTATTAATCTTATTTGAGCACCTAATTGACATTATTGAGTGTCTCACAGCTTGAATAACAGTAATATTATTCTGTTATTCTACCACACGTATTTCTGTGAGGAAATAATATAAAGAAAACCTACTACTTAGCAGTGAGTTTAGTTTATAAGCATATATTATTTCCATGTTTCATAAACAACAGTTTCATTTCTGTTTTGAACTTTTAATTCGGGCGCGGCAAGGCCAGGTGGGCAGGATGCTTGATTCACTATCTGAGGGTTGCGGGTTCGAATCCCCATCCCATCAAACATGCTCACCCTTTCAGCTGTGGGGGCGTTATAATGTGGTAAAAGAGTAGCCCAAGAGATGGCGGTGGGTGGTGATGACTAACTGCCTTTTCTCTAGTCTTTCACTGCTAAATTAGGGACGGCTAGCGCAGATAACGTTCATTTAGCTTTGCACGAAATTCAAACCAAACTTACTTTTCATTCATAAATATGATATCAGTATAAATAAATAAATAAAATCTAAATTACTATTCACGGTATCAAGTATTTATGCAATTGACAGAATATGTGGACATGTTATTGATGCCTGAGTTTAAAAACACCAGTTTCTTAACTATCCAAACAGTACATCATATAGCGGTCTACTTTTCTTCAAGTTTTCAATATATGTGTGGTATCGTAATTCATGGCCTGGGATCTGTATGATGTCTCCCCATTAATAAACATGACCCTAGCATGTGGTGGAGTCGGTTGTATGCACAGGCAGTGAGTTGGGGTGAAGCTAGTAGGCGTGGATTCTGTAAAGATCCCATTAACGTCGGTCCAGCGATTCGGGGTACTTGTACCGTCCTGACCACTGGTGTAATCCAAAATTAAAGAAAGTGATATGGTATAAAATTAACAAGATATACATTATATATTATCATTGAATTATAAAAATAAAACAAGTGTTCACTTACCAACCTACTTCAATTAAATTGTTAAAAAAAAAAGACGGGAAACAAGTACCAAACATTTTGCAAATATTAACTATGATGTAGGGATGACAATGGCAAAAAGTACAGAGGCAAGGTAAGGATGGATACATAAAACCATACAAAAATCACTACATAAGTAGACAATAGTATTGAGTCAATCTTACAAGCTTATGGTTATTAGCTACTGTAAGACTGTATAGCACTGTTCAGATTAAATGCTTTTATTCAAACCTGAATTAATGCAATTGACAGGAATTCAACATTTAATTGTAGATAAAAGTTATTCTTGGATAGATTTGGCTACTTATATAGTGATTTATTTTTGTATGGTTTTGTGTATTCATCCCTATCTTGTTTCTCTACTCTTTGTTATTGCCATCCCTACATCATACTTAATTTTTGCAAACATTTTTTATCACTTGTACATCTCTTATCTTCGAGAGAATTATCCATAAAAACCCAGTAATTTCAAAACATAAACGGTTATACTTATTTTTCAGGTTAACTCCAATAGGTGTTTTGAGCTTGATTTGTTCCAAACTACTCGCCGTCTCCGATATTACGACTTTATTACAACAGATGGCGGTTTTTGTAGTTACTGTTCTGGGAGCTCTTACTACAGAAGTACTGGTTGCTCAGCCTCTGCTTTTCTTCGTCATCACTCGTGAGAATCCGTACGTCTTTCTCGTCAGGTTGCTGCAAGCCATGATAACAGCGTTTGCTGTATCATCCAGGTTTGAGTTCCTTTTCTGGCTTTTATTCATTTTGGTTAATTTTCAAATCACATTCATCTTCACTTCGAGATGTAATACACACAGCAACGGAGAAAAAAACAACAACGATAAAACACCGACCATCACTAAGACAAATTTGTAATCGTTATTGTGTTATATTCACGTTTTTTTTTCGCCCACAGACTACGCTCGTATTTCTTCTTACTGTTACGTCTCCGTTTGTTAATTAACTTTCCGTAACTTCGTTCCGACGAAACTTAAGCGACACAACTCCTTTCTTAATAAAACTGGTTTATTCTTTCCAAATATAACTTTACCGATACACTCAACTTCAACAATCGAGCTAAACAAACGCTGTAACGTCTCTCGTGCTCTCTGACTGCAGTTCAATTACTCAATATCTACACACACATTACATTCCCCTCTTTTATATACCAGCCTACCCCATCTAGCAAATACTAGAGCATTCGCCAAGATACGGGATAGTTCTAGAAACAAGAGGGCGCCACAGTAGTCATGTGACTCGCTGACGCAACATTACATTAGTTTTTCATACTCTTTCAACGAGATTTTGTTAATAATCTTTCCATTTACTTCTGGATTAGAGATTTATCAGAACTTCTGTCTTCTACACTTTGTATAACACGTACTGGATAATCTAATCTGCTTTTGTTGTTCTGTATTAGAGATTTATCAGAACTTCTGTCTTCTACACTTTGTATAACACTTACTGGATAATCTAATCTGCTTTTGTTGTTCTGTATTAGAGATTTATCAGAACTTCTGTCTTCTACACTTTGTATAACACGTACTGGATAATCTAATCTGCTTTTGTTGTTCTGTATTAGAGATTTATCAGAACTTCTGTCTTCTACACTTTGTATAACACGTACTGGATAATCTAATCTGCTTTTGTTGTTCTGTATTAGAGATTTATCAGAACTTCTGTCTACTACACTTTGTATAACACGTACTGGATAATCTAATCTGTTTTTGTTTTAATTATACTCTCCTGTGTTCCAAAGTGTCTATTATGTACTGAATATCCCTCTTGTGGAAAAGTTATCATAACTTTTGTACAATTACAAGTACGAATAACAAATCAATCGTCCGCGTGTCCTCTTTTTTATTTAATCTAATCGAAACATGTATTTATTTTTCTAACAAATCATTATCTCTCTGGAAGATCCAATATATATATGAAATGTTGTAGGCCTAAGTTTTGGTGTTATTTTTCAGCTCTGCTACAATGCCAGTGACCTTACGTTGTCTGGAAGAGAAATGTCATGTCGATAGACGAGTCACAAGGTTTGTGGTTCCTTTAGGAACGACCATAAACATGAATGGAACTGCCTTGTTTATCACCATGTCGACGTTTTTCATCGCCCAAATGAACGGAATTCCGCTGCAGGCAGGGGACTACTTAGCAGTTGTGTAAGATGTTTTTAACTACAGATTCGTCACTGTGGTTGTTTCTCGTGGGTAAAAATCTACGGAAAACAAAATTTAAATGGAGTTTCGCCTTTCGTATTGTTACGCATCTGCTTGTTTGTTAATTTCCCGTAGAAATTA